AAATGGTTCTCCCTGGGAAGGGGTGAGAACGTTTCCAGGTTTTGAAACCAGGGTTGTGGAGGCCATGCCATGCTGGTCAGTTCTTGTCTGAGCACAGATGAGAAAGGAGTGCTGTGTGAGTGATGTTTGGAAGTCCAAGTCAGGTTGTGATTGGAGGTCATGGTAGTCGGAGCATGTAGCAGAGGTTCCTCACATCTTGATGGATCAGAAGCATAGAAAGCATAGAAAGGACAAAAGCAGGATTGAGCTAAATCTCTCAAGCTCAACCCCAGGAGCCAAAGGTTCCATAGCCTTCTAGAACAGCAGCACCAGTTTGGAACCAAGTATTTCAAACACAGGAGCCCATGGGGGAATGTTTCATATTCAATTCAAACACAGGAGCCCATGGGGAACATTTCAACCCAATCACAACCTGACTTGGACTTCCAAACATCACTCACACAGCACGCCTTTCTCATCTGTGCTCAGACAAGAACTGACCAGCATGGCATGGCCTCCACAACCCTGGTTTCAAAACCTGGAAACGTTCTCACCCCTTCCCAGGGAGAACCATTTAGATGGGTCTCCTTTAAGCAGCACTCAGTGTACAATGCCAACCCCATCCCTTTCTGAGTCATTCAAGGACACAGTCCTCTGAATCCTCTGCCCCCTTAGTCCAGTGTCCAACTCTTTCTCCAGTTGGATGTGGCTGACTGACTTTGATCTTTCAAAAGCAGACCAAATCCTAGCTCAGGCTGGATCCAAGTCAATTTTTCTTTGAACAGTTGTTTGATTATCCAGATATATGAATGGAACTACTTTGAAGTCAACCTGAATATATATGAGTCATAACTCAGTAGCTCTTGGACCCATGGAAATCCTAATTCTCAGTCTTTTTTCACCTGATAATGACTTTGTCTACTTTACTTGACTTTCATCCTTTCCCCCATTCTTTTCAAAGGACAGGACTCAAGGAATCATCGAGGGGAGATTGTGTCTCCCTTAATCAATTGGTCCATTCATAAAACCATATTTTGCTATTCCTTTCAAATCCAGAACATCACCCTGGTGGGAATTCCCCTTCTGGGATTTTTTTTTTCCTATCCAAATTTAGAATCTGTCCCTGTGTGGGACCAGGGTGTTTCAGAACAAATGACATCATGAAGACCCGCAGGAACAGATGGTCAGACTTTCTGTGCCCTGTGAACTCAATTCCGTGCCATCTACTGGAATGGAAAGTGCCTGGGCCATGCAGAGGGAGTTTCTAAGCAGAGTGGGTGGAAGGGCCTGCTTTCCTTTCATTAAACAGGAAGTGTCTGGGCTGAACACACTGGCAAGGGCATCCAGCAGTGGGCACATGCAGCCAGTGCTCAATCCCACAGTAGGTAAGTGCTCTGGCTTCACTGAGCACATTTCTAAGCTAGATGTTGAAATAATTTTCCATCCCACCCCACCCTCCAGAAAGGCATGGGATAATGGAATATTTTTAGCAAGGAAAAAATTCTATAAAAATGAACACATAAATACTATACAGAGGACAGGGCCCCTCCCACCAGTTGCCCAGAGACCCCTCAAGTGACTGTTACATTTAATAGGCTTTGAAGCCAGTATAGGAGATAGGCACAAGCCAGCATGGGTTGGAAAAAAGGACAGAATGAGGAAACTGGTCAGAAGAAAGCTATATATAGCCAGCATGGTGGTGCACACCTGTAATCCCAGAAATTGAGAGGCTGAAATAAGAGGGTTGTGAGTTCAAGGCTAGCTTGGGCCATATCAAACACATGCTTTAGGCATGCACACACACACACACACACAGAGAGAGAGAGAGAGAGAGAGAGAGAGAGAGAGAGAGAGAGAGAGAGAGAGAGAGAGAGAGAGATCACGTGTCATTGTAGAGAGTGCTATAGCTGGCACACGGTGTGACTCTTCTGTGAGCGCCTGACAGCTTCAAATTCCTATGACCACCTCAATGTGCACATCTCCTGTGACCTTCTTGTAGCATCAGACACATTCTCCTCTCCCTGGCCTCTGTGGAACTTCCCATCTTCACACACTCCCCTGTCTCTGCTTCAAGTTAACAAATAACCCTTGTTTTCCTCTCTGACCTACTCATCACCTCCTTTCCATCACCTCCTTTCCCTCTCCAAGACCTCAGGCTCCAACCAAGTTACCCTAGGTGACTCTTCTGACACCCTACACTACTGTGATGGTGAGCCCTGTTGGCTTACCTTCCTGAAAATGCCGAACTCTGGCTACCTCTCTATACCTCTTGCCTCTGCTACTTCCACCTGGCCAGTTCCCCAGGATCTGTCACTTGGTTCATTGAATTTGTTTCCTGATTCTCCTACTTACTGTGCCTTGTCCAAAGGGACAAGGGCACAGCACTTAGATTGACACTGTTAAGGTAAAGTTGGGATGACATCATTCTCTGCTCAAGGACTTCTAGTCTGCATAGAACGTGTCCCAATTAGCTTCAACTGTCAACTTTGCACAGCCTAAAGTCACTTGAGAAGGGGATCTTAAAAGGATTTGTGCAGATCAGAGTAGCCTGTGGGCATATCTGGAGTGTGGGGGTTGGTTGTCTTGATGTTAATTGACATAGGAGGCCCCAGTCCACTGTGGGTGGCGCCATCCCTAGGTATGGCGGCCTGGGCTGTGTAAGGAAGGTAGCTCAGTGTAAGTCTACAAGCAAGCAGAGTCCCTCCATGGTTTCCATTTCAGTTCCTGCTTGAGTTCTTCCTCGGACTTCCCTCATTGCAGACTGTGACCTGGACCTATAAGCCAAGTAAATAAATCCCTTCTTCCCCAAGTTGCTTTTGGTCAGAGTGCTTTATCTCCACAATAGAGAGAAAGCTAGAACAGAGCAGGAAGCCAAACCCTTGTGGTGGCCTTCAAGGCCTTGATGATGTATCTCTCTTCCTAGAGAACCGCTGTTCAGTGCACTGCAACCCCACAGGCTCCATGTCAGCTCTCACACTCTCCAGACCCACTCTTTGTCACCTGCCCCTGGCCTTACTTTTCCCTTTGCCAGAAATACTTGTCCCTCAGATGCCCCCATGACTCCTCCGTTTCCTTCCACCCTTTACCCAGGTGCCACTTTCTTGTTCACACCATCCCAAACTGACTGCCTTGACATGTATCATGCCTTGAGATCCTCTGTTTCTCTCCCAGCTCTTAGCACCATCCAGCTTAGTATAAAGAAGTAGTACAGAGAAGCTTACTTCCTCGTTCAGAAGGTGGCTTCTTGTCTCTCACTTGCTGTTTTATTACTGCAGAATACATTGGGTTTTGGTTTGCTTGTTTGTTTGTTTTGTTTTGTTTTGTTTTGTTTTGTTTTCGAGACAGGGTCTCTCTGTGCAGCTTTGCGCCTTTCCTGGATCTCACTCCGTAGACCAGGTTGGCCTTGAACTCACAGAGATCCACCTGTCTCTGCCTCCTGAGTACTGGATTAAAGGCATGCGCCACCACCGCCCGGCTTGCAGAATGTATTGTTGTTGTTATCATTTTATTTAGCTGGGGAGGGGAACACATGCATTCCATAGCAGTTGAGTAGGGATCAGAGGACAATCTGAAAAGCTGGTGCTCTCCTTCCATGGTGTGGGTCTCTGGGACCAGACTCAGGTCACCAGGCTCGATAGCAAGTGCTTTAAGCCACTGAACCATCTCACCAGCCTGGAAGCTGTTTGTGAATGAATGACTGAAGGTGTCTACTAAATCCCTCAACATTGCAGGCCTCCCTGCTTTCAGCGCGACACACACAAGTCTTGTCCCATCTCTGTGCACAAGTCACCACCTGTCTTACACCTCTCCTGAGCCTCTTTGTACCCAGGCATTGCATGGAGCTGCTTTGGCCTACACTATGGCTCTGACCTGAGGAACGTCTGATGTATGAAGATGGTACCCAGCTTCTCTGAAGTCAAGAAAGCCATGGCCAGCTTCTCAAGGCTCTGTGAGGTAAGTGGTTTCGGGGGGGGGGCGAAAGGGGGGACTCCAAACCTCCACTTCCTACTCCATAAAATTCTTCTGAGAATGACATGAGGTCCCTTCTGTGTTGTTTCTCCTACTGCTGATGGGAGGTCACAGCCTTCCCTGCTGGATTTTTGCCTTTCTGGGTTCCTCGATGGGCTGACAGAACCATCTAAGGGCCTGCTCCTTTCAGTCAACCCAACCCACTTGTCCATGGCTACATCCTTCTTTTAGGTTCCTCTGGTTCTGCAGGAAAACATCTCGAAGAACCGGATGAGTTAGAGACGGTCACTCCAAAGAAGAAATCCCCAGTGGTCACCTGTGCAAGTGATGCTGTCACAGGGACTGAAACACCGAAGCCAAGGCACCCACGAAGCGAGTCACAAGCGGGGTTACTACACCCACTGGAGGCCTGTGCACACCACAGGCCCTTTCTGGGGCTCTGGGTCATTATACAAGCGGCCTCCAAAGATACAGGGTCCTTTGCCGCCCCCCATACCCTCTTCACGGTCAACTAACCCACAGCACCCTTGAGGCCAATCCTCCGTAGGAAGGTTTGCAATGCCCCTCCTCCACAGGACTGAGCCCACCCCATGTGGTTAGCCCACCACAACACACTTGTGCTTTACTTTGCCTAGTTATGAGCCTGACCTTCAACCCCGACGGTGGACCCTGTCGTCAGGAGCTCTGTTCGGGTCATCTGGGTGAGCTGGGTGCCTAACAAATATCTGGACTGTGGTGGTATGGGATGCTATCCTCTGCATGGATGGACAGGTGGGTAGGTAAGAGGATGGATGGTTCAGTAACCCGCAGAGCAGACGCAGCTTCCATCAGCCCCACGGAAGCTTCAAGGGGAGAGAAGACGGCAGGCCAGGAGAAGCATGCCTGGGGGAAGGGCCGCCTCCCTGCTGCTAGCCCTCTCCTGTCTCCCTCTTTGCACTGCTTCTCCTCTGAGCTTTCTCACCTATCTGCTTGGCCCCTTCCCATCCCGGTGTTAGTTTTTCGGCTGCGTTGTGTTCTTACCCTGCAAGGAAATGCCACGAAACACGACAGAATCCGCTAACAAGAGTTTTATTAAAGGTAAAAGGACAGAGAGTGAACAGGCCTGTGGGAAACACGTGTGGAGAAGAAGGAGGAAGAAGAAGAAGAAGGAACCGGGAACATGGCGCCGGATTTTAAAGGCTGGGCGTGGACAGATCAGCATCACTACTACACGCAAGCGCGTAGATCACATGGCCACGTTGCGCGCCTACGTAGCCAATGGAACGTCACGGATCTTGGTCCCGCAAGATGCCCTGACCCGGAAATGGCTATCCTGACCTGGAACTGGCTAGGTGGAAGTGTCTGTTGGGCATATGCGAACACGCCCGACCGTGGGGGCGTGTTGTAAACCTTTCATCCCTGACTCTTCCTTTTTTAAAAAAGAAAAAAATTGTGGTTGCCTGGGTATGGGGGCGACGTTTCTCTCAAAGACTGCTTCCAGCTGAATAGTGGGTGTTGGTTGACTCTTGGGGGGCAGGGGGATGAGAGGGTATCTTGTGAAGTCCTGGGATGTTGCTGGGCAGGTCCTGGAATGAAGTTCTGCCGTCCCCTCGTTCTGCAGCTGTCCATCCGTGCTGTGGCTGGGAACCTTCTGTTTGACAAGATACTGTTGACATAGAAAAGGCTTAGAGAGAAAGAATCATTATTATTTTATTTTGGAGTTGGCATTTGTCTGAGGTAGATCTGGCCTGTCCAGATAGAGACATGTGATATTTACCTGAGGTAGATCTGGCCTTAGTACTCTGCTTAATTTCTATCTGAGACAAGCCTTATTAGAGGTAGTTTATTTAAGGCACCGGTTTCCCTTATTAGGTTAGCATTTAGGAAACGCAGGTTATCAGTTACTGAGTATCGAACAATGATAGATTATTGTATTACATTATTCCTTACCGCCTGGATATTTTTGATGGTCCTTTTTGCCTCCGGCTCTGTGTGTCTACCTGAGAGACTGTGTCTACCTGAGAGACTGGTAGGGGAAAGGAATTGTTAGAGTCAGAAGAGTGAGTGGCTAGGAGGAGAAGTAAAGGAGCCGCTGGCGCGTCTGGGATGAGGCGAATGTGTGGAGCGAAAGAAATGGACGCTCCTACCTTAGCTAGAAGATCCCTCCCCATTAAAGGTACAGGGCAGCTTGGCACCACTAAGAATGTGTGTGTGAGAGGGATGCCTCTGAAAATGCAATTGAGTGGTGGTGTCTGATGAGGTAGATAAGGCTGTCCCCAACCCCGACAATAGGGAGACGAGCAGGAGAGGTGGGCCTCCAAAACTCTCTCAGGACAGAGTAGGTAGCTCCGGTGTCCAAAAGGAACGAGATGGGGCCGCCCATTGACCTTTATAATTACCCTAGGTTCCCTGTGTGAGATGGGAGTGGCCGGGGCAGAAACCAGGCAGCAGCAGTCCTCGCTGTAAGCCAAGCCTACAAAGTCAGCTGGAGGGTGGTCTTCATCTGGCGTTCCTATGTCGCTTGGGACATTAGGACAGTCAGCTGACCAGTGACCCTTTTGGCAACACTTTGGACAAGGCTTTGTCGGTGCCCTTCATGGGCCGGTGGTGCAAGCCTGGGCCCAATGGCCTTCTCTCCCACACTTGAAGCAGGGACCAGATGGCTTTCGGGGAGCCGGTCGGGCAGTGCTTGCCAGCATCTGGCAGCTCCTTTTATGGGCTTTTTCATCTCTACCATGGAACACCTTAAACACTATCACCAGCACATCTGCCTGTGGAGTTAGAGGGCTGCTCTCCAAATGTTTAAGTTTATCCCTAATGTTAGGGAAGCTCTGTGAGACAAACTGGGTTATTAGCAGCTGCCTGCCCTCAGGGCTCTCTGGGTCTAAGCTAGTGAACTGAAGTAGAGCCTTGGTGAGCTGCTCTAGGAAATGAGACGGATTTTCGTCCTTATCTTGATTAACCATTTTTAGTTTTTCATAGTTTACTGGTTTTAGGGCAGCCTTACGGAGACCTGTCAGGAGACAGATAATAAACCTATCTCTGGCTAGACAGCCACCCTGGGTGTTATAATCCCAGTGTGGCTCTCGGTCAGGAACCGCCTCAGCTCCTGGAGGGTGTGAGAGGTTAGTTTGATGAATTTCATCTGCATGAATCCTAGCCTGCTCCCAAACCCGCCTGCACTCCTCAGGAAGTAAGTTATTAGAAAGTATCATGAATATATCATGAAAGGTAAGACTATAAGATTGAGTTATATATTGAAACTGTTTAATAAAGGCAGCAGAATTAAAAGTATAAGAACCCAGCTTACTTTCTATCTGAGAGAGTTCTGCTAGAGAGAATGGAACATGAACTTTAATCAGTCCATCCACACCAGTCACCTCTCGCAAAGGGAGAACAGTGGAAGGTTTTGGATGGCTGGAATCAGGCAATTTAGCAGCCCGAGAGCGGGTGGTAGGAGGAGTGAAGTTTGGAGCTAGGGCAGGGCCTTTGGAACCGGCCGCTGCTGAGAAAAGAGCAGCTTTAGAAGAAGAAGAATCTGGAAGGGGAGCGGAAGGAACGGTTTTCTAGGAGTTGGAGCTGGAGGTCGAATAGGTGGAGGTTCGTTAGCAGGATCTAGAGTCAGAGATTCTGGAGTCAGAGAATCCTCCGGTTCAGGCATAGCCAGGAGCATATGAGCAGGAGAGAAGGAATCCAGAAGAGACGGTTTAGCACTGAGAAAGAAAAATGCTATAATGTAGGGCAACTCTTGCCATCTGCCTGAGCGCTGACAGTAATTAGATAACTCCCGTAAAATATCGGGATCTAAGGAGCCGCTCGGTGGCCATTTTTTGTTGTTTTCTAAAGCATACTTTGGCCATTTTTTAGAACATAGATGAGTTATCTTAGGAATCTTTATGTAAGGCATTAAACTGAGAGGTTTTAAAGCTTCAACAAGACAGCCTAACGGAGAGGAAGGACTAACAGGGTTGGAAGCCTTGTTTCCCATGTCTGCAGCAGAGAGGCAGAAAAAAAAAAAAAGATAAAAAAACAAACGTGATCCGGAGCCAAGGCCCCAGGCGTCCCCAAGGCCAAGGACGGATCCCGGGCACAAGCCGCTCCTTGGCTCGTCAGCCACAGAAGCGGGGGCCCCTGCCACGTGAGGAAAGGATTCCCCGGGAATCCAGACAGCGTCTGCCACTTCGTCAAGTCGGATGAACGTGTCGGCCCCACGTGGCCCCCAGGACGCACCCAACGGCGGTGGTCCCAACGCGAGAAATATCTCAGGCTGCAGACGTGGGAGAGGGCTAGAAATCTGAGGCCTGCGATAGGGGCCGACCGTAGCCAATGAAGACCGTGGCCGGGGGTTCCCCCGGTCTCAAGAATACTGGTGAGGTACCGGTTGTTCTCACAGATTCAGGAAACCGTTTACACTGGCCGAAAAATGGGGGGGACTCACCAATCGGAGAAAGCGGTGTTGCATGGAATTTTTGCGGTCAGGCAAAATGGAGAGCGGTCTGTCGCGTACGGAGCAGAGTGTTGCAGTCCCCGGTTTACGGGTTTCCAGGCGCAGGGTGCCCGGAAGCGCCCGCTCGGTTTCGGCACCAAAATGTTAGTTTTTTCAGTTTAATAAAAATTTTATTGAGAACTTCTGGGATGGTGGTTATCTCCCCCCACTCTGGGGAAGGACAACACTGTAGGAAGTCACTGAGAAATCACACTGTCTCCCCCCCTCCCTCAGGCCAATACAAGGAGGAAGAAAGTCCTCTGAAAGGGTTGGTCTTCAGTCTTCCTTAATCCAAGAGGACGAGTACAGAGGAATCCATCACATGATACTTGGGTCAGGGTGGGCTGTGCTTGACCTCCCTCGCCGGCTCCCCCACGGTCGGGCGTGTTCGCATATGCCCAACAGACACTTCCACCTAGCCAGTTCCAGGTCAGGATAGTCATTTCCGGGTCAGGGCATCTTGCGTGACCAAGATCCGTGACGTTCCATTGGCTACGTAGGCGCGCAACGTGGCCATGTGATCTACGCGCTTGCGTGTAGTAGTGATGCTGATCTGTCCACGCCCAGCCTTTAAAATCCGGCGCCATGTTCCCGGTTCCTTCTTCTTCTTCTTCCTCCTTCTTCTCCACACGTGTTTCCCACAGGCCTGTTCACTCTCTGTCCCTTTAATAAAACTCTTGTTAGCGGATTCTGTCGTGTTTCGTGGCATTTCCTTGCAGGGTAAGAACACAACGCAGCCGAAAAACTAACACCCGGGATTTCTGATTCCTGGAGCAACGGTTCCAAATTGTGTGCCAAACCTGACAAGCTTTTCCAAAAATGTGTTTCTTGCCCGTGGCTTTTCCAGTTGATTCTCTAGCAGCGGTCGCTCCTCCATGATGTAGCTTGTCTATCTGGACTTGGGTGTGCTTGCCCCTCCCAGAAACAAGCAACTTTTCTGTGTGGTTGGAGGACCTGCAGGCGACTCTTAGAGCCTCCTCCTCTGATAGCAAAAGGAAAATGCATCCCCTGTTGCCATGGAAACATGGTGGTTCACAGCAACAGAAAACAGAGAAGCAAAGTTAAAATTACTTGAGGTTGTGGTGATGGCTCCGTCCACAAAGCGCTTGTTATGCAAGTATGAGGACCTGAGCTAGATCCCCAGAACACTTGTAAAACAGCGGGGGGTTGGCGTGAGCTTATAATCCCAGTGCAGGGGAGGTGGAGACAGGAGGATCTCTGGGACTTGCTGGCCAGCCAGCCTACCTCCTTGGTGAGCTCAGGGCTAGTAAGAGACCCTGTCTCAAAAAACAAAGTGTAATGACATCTGTGATGGGCCTCTAGTTTACACACACACACACACACACACACACACACACACACACACACCCCTACATAGATGATGCCCCCCGCCACGCACACATATGAAGTTAAAATTACTTGCCTTGCAGTACAGTAGCACATGTGAACTCACAGAGCCTAGATGTGGAGAGCAGGTGTGGGGAACTTCTGGCCTCCGGCTCCTGGCTCCATTTTCTCCCAGCCTTCTGCAAACCTGTCAAACTGTGTTTACAGTAATGAGAAAGATTCTTATCGCTCAGCTATCCCTGTCTGGAAGCCACCCGGAGCCAGCTGGAAGGCACACAGGCAGTGAGGCATTTTACAAGCATGCTCTGCTCTGTGGGTCAGAATGCACCTGGCTGGCTTACCTTACAAATCCACCCCCTTTAAAGCGCCTGCCCCTGCTCCAGAACCCTGCACTGTTTCAGAGGAAGTGTTCTGTATTTCTGCTCTTGTTTCACGATGTTGACTGAAGTCCTAAAGTCACAGACATGAGAGAGGGAAAGACCCTGGAAGATTAGCGGGTCTAACCTCCTCTTTTTTTTTTTTTTTTTTTTTTTTTTTTAATTTTTTTTTCTTTTTATGGTGAGGAAACTGTCAGAGTGACTTTAATTTCGGATTTTATGAGGCCTATTTGCGTTGACATGACTGATGACTCTGCTTCCCAGACTGCCTCATAAAAAGCGTCAGCTTGCTTCCTGATTGGGCGGGCTAGGAAGTCGCAGCTCTGCCTTCATAACTTCCTGCCTCATATCCTTCACCGATGTTGGATGCAATTGGAGATTTCTACCCACGGCCTTTCCTCAAAGGAAGAAAAATATGGACAAATCTGAGCTACTGCTCATAGACAGGACAGCCAGGAGCCCTCTAGAGCAATCAGGGGCACCCACGGTTCCTGGAGTTTCTGTGGGCTTATCTAGTCCGGAGTGTCCCTTGTGGGGGGGCAGGACTAGGGACTGGGGGCGGAGCCTTGACAGGGGTGGGCGGGGGTGGGGGGCCACTGGTGGCTTGAAAGTTGTGTAGCTCTGGCATGGTACCGGGGAGTTGGTAGGCTGCAGGTTGGAATCTGGGCAAGACACTCAGTTCACAACTAGGAAAACAATATGAAAACCTGTTTTCAGAGCCTGTGGATAAGATCTGGAATGGAAAACTGGTTTCACATGATACTTGGGGTTGGCAGTCCTGAAGGGCTGTGAGCTGACTCAGCAGAAAAGAATATTACTAGGAGTCAGGACGGCCACTTGGGCCTGAGACTGTGGAGGCAGTGAGCAAACTAGGCCTTTTCTTTCCCTTTTTATATAAATTTTATATCACCCCCAAAATAACATGCACACTGATTAAAAAGTCAGGGGCTAGAGAGATGAGCAGTTAAGATGACGTAGTTTTTTTTTTTTTTTTGCAGAGGACCTGAATTTGGTTCCCAGCACCCACTCAGGTAGCTCACAACTGCCTGTAACTCCTGTTTCAAGGAGGTCTGCTGCCCTCTTCTGGTTTCTACAGACACCTCTCATGTGCACAAACCCACATACAGAAGCACCCGCACACATCACTTTTTGAAAATCTTAACAACAGTTTAACAACTCGGTGTTTCTACAGTTGCAATCTTTAAAATTTGCCCATGCGTGCATGTACATGTGTGCGGCATGAATGTCTGGTTCAAAGGACAACTTGTGGGAATCCGTTCTTTCCTTCCTTCATGGGCCCTGTTTCCAAGGTTTGTGATGCCTTTTCCGGCTCTTGCCTGCAGGATTCCTCTCCTCAGTGGTGAAGCCACGTTAACAACAAGCTTTGGGTAGAGAACCCTGGAGGAATACGAAAGTGAAGATTATTCTGTGAAAATAGATGGGTGATTAGACAGAAGAGCAGGAGCTGTTGGCACAAGTTAAGACTGTCTAGCAAACAAAGCCCAAGACTTGCTGTTATAATCCACCCAGGACAGCATCCCCAGGATGGCACGCACAGACAGCGAGCGTTGCCTTGAACGGTAGTCACTATTTACCCAACGGAGCATAGCTCTACATAAAAAGGCTTTTAGCCATCACTGAGGGATTCGGAGGTGAGGAGGATTAGTATGAATAATGAGAGATGAAGGGCTTTGATAATAGCTGTCCATGTGTCCATCCGAAATCCTACTGTCTTGGCACTAGTGAAACCAGTATTCTAATGTGCGAGGCAGGTGGCAGGTGGGGCTTTCATACAGAGCAGGTCAGAGACATGCTCATTACCCACCCCACTCTCCAACTGATGGTGAAGTCCGCCTGGATGTCCAAGTCCAGCCAGAAGCAGTGAGGTGTTGTTGAGGGAGGAGATTCTTGCTCATTGTCCCTCACAAGGCTGTATGGACCTGCTCTCCCAGATTGACCCCTCTGCCTTGTGTGAGGGCTGAGAGCACTTCTCTGGATCCAGTCAGAGGAGAGTCCGTTTTTTCTTTTGTTATTATGCTGAATGACACTGATTTGAGTTTTCGAATGTTGTGCCAACATTGCATTCAGGATGAAAGGCACGTGGCTGTGGTGCATTATCTTTTATATTATCAGATTTCATTCACTAAAATATGATCAAGAATTTTTGTGTCTGTGTTCATGAGGGGCTTGAAATGGAATTTTCATTTTAAAAAGATTTTATTTATGTGTATGTGTGTGCATTTGTGTGTATGACATGTGTGGAGAGCGGTGTCCGCAGAAGCCAGAAGAGGGTGTCACATTCTCTAGAGATGGCATTATAGGCAGTTGTGAGCTGCCACATGAGTGCTGGATTCAAACTCAGATCCTCTGCAAGAACAGCAAGTGCTCTGAACCACTGAGCCATCTCTTTAGCCCTATGGAATTTTCTTTTTCATATTGTGCTTGAATTTCATGTCAGAGTCATGTTGGGCTTAAGAGTGAGTTGGGAAGTGTGTTAGTCTACTGAAAATTTTTAGACGAGTTTGTGTGGAGTTAACATTCTTTATTCCTTAAATATTTGATTCAGCTGGGCAGTGGTGACGCACACCTTTAATTCCAGCAATCGGGAGGCAGAGCCAGGGGGATCTCTGTGAGTTTGAAGCCAGCCTGGCCTACAGAGTGAGTTCCAGGAAAGGTGCCAAAGCTACACAGAGAAACCCTGTCTCAAAAAACCAAAAAAATAAAAAATAAAAAAGATTGATTCAACTTACTAGGGATGCCAGTTGAACTTGGAGTTTTTCTTTGTGGGAAAGGTTTTAAGTAAAAGTTTGCTTTTTTTTTTTAAACTAAACAGAATATTACATCATTCTTTTTCTTGAACTTTGGGTGTTTGTGTGTTTCAACTAACGGGTCCATTTCATCTAAGCTGCTAAGTGTGTGTAGACCTATTCACAAATTCCTTTCAGATTCTGCTAATGTCTGTAGAATAGGCAATTTGTGTCTTTTTCTATTTCTTGATATTGTTGTACATTCTGGGTTTGCTTTTTTGTTTGTTTGTTTGGTTTGGTTTGATTTTTCGAGACAGAGTTTCTCCATATAGCCCTTAACTGTCCTAGAACTCACTTTGCAGGCCAGGCTGACATTAAACTCATAAAGATCTGGCTGCCTCTTGAGCGCTGGGATTAAAGGCATGTGCCAGCACCGCCCAGCTCTTCTATACCATAAGTGGAGGTATGTATGCATGTTTAGATGTGTGTGGTCATGTATGAGTGGGTGGGGATGCACATGCATGTGAAGGCCTGAGCTGGAGATTGATAGAAGGAATCACCCTCCATGGCTTTTCTACCTCCTTCATTGAGGCAGGGTCTCTCAGTCAAACCCAGAGCTGGTTGGCATGGCTAGTCTCCTTAGCCAACTTACCCTGTGGAACCCCTGTATCTGCCTTCCCAAGACTGGAATTCCAGGTGGACTGCCACACTCCTGAGGCATTTCTGTGGGTGCTGGGAGCCAAACTCTTTGGCAAGCACTTTAACCAATGAGGCGTTTTCCTTCTTTTTTTTAAAAATCTTAATTATTCTGACTAGAGATTATGAATTTTGTTGATTTCTTTAAAAACGAGTATTTTACTTTCCATTAAAAACTTCTGTGCGTGTTTTATTTGTATGTGTGTATATGTACCACATACATGCTTCATGCCTGAGGGCATCAGAAGAGGGGCTCAGATCCCTTGAAACTGACATAATGGGTGATTGTGGGCCACCATATGGATGCTGGGGATTGAACTTGGGTCCTCTGCAAGAGCAACAAGAGCTCTTAACCACTGAGCCATCCCTCCCGCTCTGGCTTTTCATTAATTTGGAAGTTTATTTTGTGCTCTTTCCTTTCCTTCCTCTGCTTTCCTTTCTTGGGGGTGATTATTGTTGCTTTGAGGCAGGGCTCACTCTTAGTCTGGAGCCCAGGGTGATCCCACTCAGAATCCTCCTGCTCCAGGCTCCCAGTGCTGGGATTAGAAGTCTGTGCCTCCAGCCTCACTGTTCTTTTCATGAGGTGGAGACCAATAATACCGATTTGAGAACTTTCCGTGTATTTTCTTCAAGTGTTAAATTTTATATTGATTGTTGTGTGTGTATTTGTATGGGGGGAGGCATCTGTGCACCTGTGGAGGTCAGAGGACAACTTGCTGGGGTTGTGTTTCTCCTTCTACCATTTGGATTCCAGGAAATGAACTTCTATCATCAGGCACAATGGCATGCACTCTTAGCTGTTCAGTCATCTCTGGGCCCAGATATTATTTTATCAGCATATTTCTTTTTTTTTTTTTTTTTTTTTTTTTTGTTTTTCGAGACAGGGTTTCTCTGTGTAGCTTTGCGCCTTTTCCTGGAACTCACTTGGTAGCCCAGGCTGGCCTCGAACTCACAGAGATCCGCCTGGCTCTGCCTCCCGAGTGCTGGGATTAAAGGCGTGCGCCACCACCGCCCGGCTTATCAGCATATTTCTATATTTGAGCTATTATGTTTTTATATTCATCTAGTTCAATTTTT